AACCCTAAGATGATATTTATTGCATTAAATCTTTCGCTTATTCAATTGTTTTGTTTTCGCATATTTGATTGTTTTGATTTTACGTTACACCTGATCTTTTGATCTAATTGGCTAAAAATCACATGTTAGAAAAATTTTGGAGGTTAATTACTAGATATGTATAACCATAAAAACCTCTGTAGATCACCCCCAAAAAATTTTCCGGCATATGACTAAGCTATTTCACTAATTTCTGCAAGATATAATTAACATTCACATCAACATTCACATCAACGTTAAGGTCAATGTTGAGGTCAATGTTGATGTGAATGTTAAGGTCAATGTTGAGGTCAACATTGAGGTCAATGTTAAGATCAACATTAACATAAATGTTAAGGTTAATGTTAAGGTGAATGTTGATATAAACATTAAGGTAAATGTTAATGTGAACATTAAGGTCAACATTGAGGTTAATATTGATCTCAACATTGATCTCAATATTAACCTTAACATTTACATTAACGTTGACCCTTAACATTTACGTCAATGTTTATATCAATGTTGACCTCAACATTAATCTCAACATTGACCTTAATATTGATCTTAATATTCACGTCAATATTGACCTCAACATTGATCTTAACGTTTACATCAACATTGACCTTAATGTTAACCTTAATATTCATGTCAATGTTGATCTTAATATTCATGTCAATGTTGACCTCAACGTTAATCTTAACATTCACCTTGAATGTTCATCTTGAACGTTTATCTTAACATTAATCTTAATGTTTACATCAATATTTATCTTAATGTTGATCTTAACATTCATATTAATGTTAATTTTAACGTTGAGATCAATATTGATGTGAATATTGATCTCAACGTTGACCTTAACATTTACGTCAATGTTGATCTCAATGTTCACATCAACATTGACCTCAATATTGACCTCAATGTTAACCTTAACATTTACTTTAAATATTCACCTTGTCAAAAAAATACTATCCATTTTATATTTATTTAACTTTTTTTTTTAATAATTTTATTATTATAATTAAATTGCATACAAAATTATTTAATTTACAAAAGAATGGTGAAAAAATAATAAAAGAATAATGAAAAAAGCACTGAAAAAACGTCAAAAGAAGTACTAAAAATATGTGAAAAAAAAACACCAAAAGAATGTTGAAGAACATTGAAAGAAGCATTGAGAATATGTCAAAAAAGCATTGAAAAAATATTAAAAGAAGTATCAAAAAAACATCAAAAAAACACCAAAAGAACACAAAAAAAAAGTACCAAAAAAACATCAAAAAACATTAAAGAATGACGAAAGAAGCATTGAAAGAACGTCGAAAGAAAACACCAAAGGAACAACAAAAAGGCACCGAAAGAATAACAAAATAAGCACTGAAGGAACGACAGAAAAGACACCAACTGAAAGAATGATGAAAAAAGTACCAAAAGAACATTAAAAAAAAATACCGAATAAATAACAAAAAGATGCCGAAAGAATGTTGAAAAAATAATGTAAAAAGCATGAATAAAACAATATAAAAATCATAAAAAAACGCATAAAAGGCAACAAAAAAAAAAACATACCAAAAAAATGACATAAGAAGCACCGAAAAAACATCATAAAGGCCACCAAAAAGAACATAGTAAGGATCACTGAAATAACATCATAAAAAGCACCCAAAAGAGCATCATAAAAGAACTGAAAAAAAAAAAAAAACATTTAGTTGATCGCATTTAATATAAAATGGAAAATGTATAATGTAGCATAAAATTGTAATGATAAACACGTGCTGGAAAAAATTTTGAAGGTTAATTATTAGATATGTGTTTAAAATTATCTTGCACAAGATGCATATATGCAAGTGATTTTTTTTTTTGTGCAAAGGAAGTTCTAAATATAAATGCACAGGTGTGCAATTAAATTTAAATAAGAATCTTGCACAAAAAATCAAGTGCAAGAGAAATTATAAAATTTTATTGCACAAAAATTAGTAATTATGAGGAATAGTTAGTAAATAATTTTATTATAGAAATTACTATTTCAATATTAAGAGGTTAGTTTATATTAGAATTATTATGATTTCTACTATAAGTTACTTAAGAATTCTCTTACAAAACTTACTCACTATTAAGTTACTATAATAATAGTTAAAGTAAATTAGTTTGCATTGAAATGATCATGACTTATTTATAATTTTTTGAAAGAATTTTACTATAAAACTTATTTATGTTTAGATTAAAATAAGTCTATATTAAAATTAATATATTTTTTATCACAAATTAATATAAAAAAGATCCTATTACAGGACTTGCTATCATAAGTTACTGTAAGTAATTCTGCTATAGAACTTGTTATTTTGCCAATTATAATATATAATTAAGATGTGTTAAATTGTATTTGAATAGTTGTGATTTTTATTTGAATCTTTAAGAAAAAAAATTTGAATAAATTTAGTTTTATATCAGATACACTTTGTATTAATTAAAAAAAATTAAATAATATTAAAAAATTCTAGGCTAGTAGATAGTTAATGAATATAAAATATGAGTATAGTTATTGGAGAGTTTTGGAACATGAAAAAATTTTGCAAGATATAATCAATTTACAATATTGGTATTATTTAGAGATAATAAATATATGCATATATAAAAAAAAATTTTATGCACATGTGTGCAACTAGTAGTTGGTTTGTCAATCAAAACCTATGCCATAACTGCAATTGTGCAAGTAGGTTTTGATCTGAATTTTAAACACTGACTACAGATCGTTAGGATGCGATATATAAGCGCATTGCATGGTGCGATGCCTAATTAAGTCCTAATAAAAAATTTCCACATATAAACCTATACCTTAATCCTAAAATGTTAACATGAAGTAGTTTTAATCCTAAACTTAATTATCTGCAGTATTACAGTACTTGATATATTATTATACGTACACTGTATATAGAAAATACCTCTATATTAGTCACACCTCTTTATAATCACGGTTTTTTGTATTCCAAAGGTGTGACTATAGAGGAGTTTGACTGTATATATGCCATACGCTTGTCTTTTTTTGAATCTTACATAATTTCTTTTGTATTTTCGACTATACTATAAGCAACCCGATTTTTCAAGGTTTATACTTTTACAGTTCACTGGTTAAAATTTGGCTTTTTATAATAGTCGTCTAACTTAAAATACGTAACATACATTCAGTTTTCGTGTTCACTATACATAATCTACAAACTTACATGTAAATATGAAAGTAACGACAATAAAACTGCAATACCAGTAAATTCTATCTGTAATATTAGAATTAATTTTATAAAGAAATATAAGAATCCAGAAATCAATATGTAAGTAAAGTCCTTATACTTTAACCTTACAAGATTTAGTTCTTAATTGCCATCAAAAATAAATACAATTAGGCAAAACTTAAATACATAGAACATTACATATTTGTTTGGCATCACTTGACGTAAAATCATTCCGTAGTTTCGCCATGGGTACTAAACTATTTAAAATTTCTGGTAGCAGTAGTGACAATTAATGAATATTAAAATTAGAATATACATACATATTAAGCAAATATTTGTAAAAACCATTAATACTGTACGTAAAATAAGTCTAAGTATAAATTGTTAATAGATCTATAAAGTATATTAATTAAATTAAAATACCTAAACATGATTAAATTTCAGATTAACTTGTCAATTACCAAATCATTTTAACACTTTATAGAGTGAAAGGATAGTTTCTAATTTTTGCGAATTCGTATTCGTGGTTAGAAGCTTATGACAAAAAGATGACCAATTACAATAAAGCCCACTATCCCGTGTAACATTGAACGTTATGTGCAAATTTTGTTTCACAAATCGAAACGCGTCTTAATTCAACTCTATATCGTTTTAAAAATGTTTAGAACACGGCAAGTCACAAATTACACTAAAGAAAAAAAAAAAGCTTTACAAATCTTGGAAGAAACTAATATCCTTGATAAGCTTGGCTTCAAAAAATACGACAATGGTCCTCCACGTTTGGGGTGGCTCATTAATATGAGTGGTGTTAGTAGGCTTCTTTTTTTTTTTTTTTATCGAATCTTAAAGCAAACCTTTAAATTTTGTAATAAATTATTATAATTTGACGATAAAAATCATAGACTATTATACCCAGCCAACAACATTCGTCCGGTAGAACAGCATTCGATCTTTTTTTTATAGAGCCTCAAACTGGAATAGATTCATACTTCAGATGTACAATATATTATTATCCATATTTTTTTGTTCAATGTCAGGTGAGAAATATATTTAAAAGTTGTCTAGCTGGTAATAATTTACAATACTTAATTTCATTGGTTTAATAGCCCGGAACGGAACATACCGTTGGAGAATATTTAGGAAGGAAATATGACCAATATATATACAAAGTATCATACGTAGTCAAGCAAGATCTAAAAAAGGTATTTTCATCTCGAATTTTATTTCAGTTATCTTTGAGTATATGATTAAAATAATTTCTATTTGCTTAGGCAAATCATTTAATAAATGGGGAGCAAATTTATATAAAACTCGAGTTTTGGAACGTCATAGAATTAGTGACAGTGCGTAATCAACTTTTTCGTATCGCAACCGAGAACCGTAAAAATTTGAATGTTGTAAACATATATGGAAATTATGGAAATAATACAAGGTAAAATTGTTGGTGCATTAATGTAATACTCAATAGTCTAACATAGTTTAACATTTATAACTTTAACGTTATAGTGATTATAGCAGTAAATATTCAGAAGCCGGGCAGAAAGATAAAATATTAGATGATATTATTGATCTTCGTGAATATGATATACCTTATTATCAACGGGCTGCTATGGACCTTGGTAATGTTCATAATATTTATTTCGGGTCAGATTTTTAGAATTTTTTTGCTTAAATAAAACTTCCTATTTAAAAGGCTATAGAGTTGGTCAGTGGTATACTGTCACAGCCTTTCCCCAAGATGATGGGGCGTTGATTACAATGCACCATCGCGAAGACATAAAACAACGTGGAGATCCAGTTATTTTCGCATATGATATTGAAACTACAAAGAAACCCCTCAAATTTCCTGACTCTGCCAATGACCCCATAATGATGATATCTTACATGATAAATGGCATGGTACTTTACTATTTAGTGACCTGGCTTTTTGTCAAATAGATATTTAGAAAATTATTATATGTTGCATAATTGTTAATAGGGATTTCTTATCGTTAATCGTGATATCGTTTCTGAAGATATTGAAGAAATTGAATATTCACCATCCACTCAATACAAGGGATTTTTTAAAATATTTAATGAACCGAGTGAGGTAAGTTGAATAACGCATGCGTATCTAAGTCGTTAAAATTTTTTTCAAAAAAGAAAAAATTGAGTTTGTTAAGGATTAAAAAGATAAAATTATAAATCTCTAAACTTATTGCCGTGTTTATATAATTAGAGAGCGTTAATCGAGCGTTTTTTTAAGCATATCCAAGAACAAAAGCCAACTATAATTGTAACATATAATGGTGATAATTTTGATTGGCCTTATGTTGAAGGCAGAGCTTCGAAATATGGTATCAATATGTATAAAGTAAATAAGGCTAGAATGAAAATTTTAAATACTAGTAGTTTTTTTTTTTTAATGATATTATTTTATTTAATAGGAAATTGGCTTTAAAAAAAATATGAATGATGAATATGTAAGCAAGCATTGTTTACATATGGATTGTCTACATTGGGTGAAAAGAGACAGCTATCTTCCTGTTGGTAGTCAGGGTTTAAAGTCTGTTACTCAAGCTAAATTGGGTTATAATCCTGATGAACTAGATCCAGAAGTTATGACAAAGTAAATATGCTTAAATGAAAAAATCTAGTCCTTGAGATTATTTTTAACATTTTTTAATTATAGGTTTGCGTATGAGAATCCACATACTTTGGCACGATATTCTGTTTCTGATGCAGTGGCGACGTATTATCTATACACCGAATATATTCATCCGTTTATTTTTTCACTTTGTAATATTATCCCATTAAATCCGGATGATATATTGCGAAAAGGAACCGGGACTCTATGTGAAGCATTATTAATGGTTAAAGTCCATTTTGAATTTTATAAATAATTATACAATGTAATTTGAATATTAAATATAATGTTGTCATAGGTGGAAGCATATCGTGCCAACATCATAATGCCAAATAAACACGAGGAAAATGATGAAATGTTTTTTAAAGACCATCTCCTCCAAGATGAAACATATATTGGTGGCCATGTTGATGCATTAGAAGCAGGTGTTTTCCGGTCGGATATACCAGTCAGTTTCGATATTGATCTTGCAGCTATCCAGCAGGTTATTATAAGAGTTTGTAAAAGAGAATGCCATTATAAAACAATATTGATATTATTTTGGTTATATTAGCTAATCGATGATATAGACGTTGCATTGGAGTTTGCAATTTGGGAAACATTCAAGGAAACAGAAAGAAATATTGAATCTGCTTTTAATATGCGGGATCAAGTAATTCTAGTTTATACAAATCTTTCCCTGTAATGCTTCAAATATTTACACTATTAATCATTTTATGCATATTTTTATAGGCTCGAAAACAAATTATAGATGAGAAGTTAATGGAGATCACGAATTATGATGAGGTAAAGAATAAAAGTTTTTACTTTTCAAGCTTATTAAATCCAATTTAATAAACAATTGCATGAAAATAAATACAAAGGTCCGATCGCAAATTGTATCCGCTCTTGAGTCTCTTAAACAAAGAGAGCAACCACTTGAACAAACGCCTCTAATTTATCATTTAGATGTTGCTGCCATGTATCCAAATATAATTCTCACCAATCGACTTCAACCCGATTCGATTGTCACTGAAGACGTATGTCTTAGATGCGATTATAATGTTCCTGGAAAAAAATGTGATAGAAGAATGACATGGTCATGGCGGGGTGATTTTTATCCTGCAAAGACAAATGAATATAAAATGATTAAGAAGCAATTAATGTCTGAAACATTTCCCGGAAAAAATCCGGGAGACAAAGGACGTTCATATTACCTTTTAAGTCTAGAAGAACAAACAGCAATTTTGAAAAAACGTCTTGGTGATTATTGTCAGACTGTATACAAAAGAAAAAAAGAGACAGAGGTGGAGCAACGAGAGGCCATAGTTTGTCAACGTGAAAACCCATTTTATGTTAATACTGTTTTGAGTTTTCGTGATCGGAGATATAAATACAAACATGATGTTAAAGAATGGAAAAAGAAGCTGGCAGAAGCAACAAAATATGAAGACCTTGTAAAGATTGAAGAAGCTAAAAAAATGATAATTTTATATGACTCTTTACAACTTGCTCACAAATGTCTCCTTAACTCTTTTTATGGTTATGTTATGCGCAAAGGATCTCGATGGTATTCAATGGAAATGGCCGGGATAGTATGTGATACAGGTGCAAAAATTATTCAAACTGCCAGACAATTGATTGAAAAGGTCGGAAGACCTCTTGAACTTGATACAGATGGAATTTGGTGTGTTCTTCCTTCAACATTTCCGGAAAATGTTACATTTAAATTATCTTCTGGAAAAACATTTTCCATATCATATCCTTGCACAATGTTGAATTATTTAGTTCATCAAAAATTCACCAATGATCAATATCAAAGGCTGTCTAATATAACAAATGAATATGAGATTGGAAAAGAGAACAGTATATTTTTCGAGGTTGATGGACCATATAGAGCGATGATATTACCTTCTTCCTTAGAAGAAAATAAACTTTTGAAGAAACGTTATGCTGTATTTGCACATGACGGTACATTACAAGAGTTGAAAGGATTTGAAGTGAAGCGGCGTGGCGAGCTCAAACTTTTAAAAAATTTTCAAGAAGTCATATTTCAAGTTTTTCTCCGAGGGAAAACGTTACATGATTGTTATGCTGAAGTTGGAAAAGTTGCAAATGCTTTTTTGGATGTGCTCGAACAAAAGGGTGCCACTCTCTCTGATGAAGAGTTGATAGATAGTATTAGCGAAAAGCGAGGGATGTCACGTGCTCTGGAAGATTATGGAGATCAAAAATCTACATCTATTACTGCCGCCAAACGTTTGGCAGAATTTCTGGGTACGGAAATGGTCAAAGACAATAAGTTGACATGCCACTTTATTGTATCAGCCAAACCTTTAGGAGAAGCAATAAGCGAACGAGTGATTCCAATAGCGATATTTTCAGCTGAGGAAAATGTAAAGAGGCATTATTTACGGAAATGGCTTAAGGATCCTAGAATGGATAATTTTGACATTCGTAATATCTTAGATTGGACTTATTATTATGAACGTCTCGGATCTGCTATTCAAAAACTTATTACAATTCCCGCAACAGCACAGAATGTTGAAAATCCTATTCCGCGGTTAAAGCATCCTGATTGGCTTCGCAAAAAATTGGCAATAAATAGTGATAAAAATCGGCAAAGACGCATTACTGATATGTTTCGAAGAACAGATGATATGGTTGTGGATGAAATTAATTACGAAAATAGAACAGAAGATATGGTTGTGGATGAAATTAATTACGAAAATGATGAATCACGAAACACTGATAATATTGATACCGGATTATCACATAATGATCCGTCAAATGATATTAATGATATTAATGATATTGATGATATCGAAGATTTTGGAACATCTAATTCAAATGTGTCTATACCAAACTACAAAAAAAGACCAATCGAGAAATCATGTTCCGACGAGCCAGCTCAAGAGGAAGAATTGATGGTAATTGACGAACCGCAACATGATGGCGATGACGATACAGAGATAGTTGATAATCCATCTTCAAAACGTCAAAAAGTTGATGAAGACAAGAATCAAAAAACAGTTGTAACTACCAAAAAGAAGAAAGATAAAAATTCGGCTAAAAAGTCTACACTCGAAAACTTTTGTGGTCAAAAAAATCGTTGGGAAATTCTACAAATAAGTAATACGGACACTCCAGGGGAATTCCGTATGTGGGTTTTAATAGGTCAAGCGATACATGCAATTCGTCTTGCTGTTCCCAAAAAGGTTTACATTAATTATAAACTACAAAATCTTCCGGATGAAATAGAGAAAATTGTTAATGATAAAGGAAGTATTTCTAGAGTAAGTCGAACGTTGCCAGGGACACATGAACGATACAACTTATTTGAAGTTATAATGCCAGAGCCTATCTATTGGCAGAATCAAAAATTGCTACTAAATATCTTCAACGATCCTCTTGTTGAAGGTGTTTATGAGACTCGAATCACATCACTGGACCGAGCGTTAATAGAAATTGGATGTATTATCAGCAAAGACAGCGTAAAATCTAATATTTTTAAAACAGCACCTCGAAAGGGCATGAATTTACAGGATATTATAAAATCGGAAGTCTTTCATAAAACACCATATTTAGAAGAGTATTCCGTTAATTATTTATATTTATGCCATATCATGTCTGGTGATCGCCATCTTTATGGCTTATTTTCTACAGTACGCAATAAAGCGCATATCTTCTTGGTAGAAAAAAGCAAAGTCAAATCACATTTGCCACATTTACCTAATGCTTATGCCAATATCTTGGAAAGGATGAGAAATGATCCTCGATATGATAATGAGGTATTTAAATATCATCAAGAACTCAGTTTTGAAGTGTCTACACACGTCAGAGATGATAAAAAAACATTTGCGAAAAAATTATCCAGAGAGATTAAGGAATATAAAGAAGGAAGACATGGGCCGACTATTTTGGTAGTTCAGTCATCATTTACGTTATGTAACCTAATCGAGGAAGGGGTTAAAGCCCTTTTAGAGTTTCCTTCGATGTATATAAACCTAAATGAAAATGATGATTTGCCTTCATTGAATTGGCAACGATATGCTTTTTCGCGCATGATAACTAAATATCTTATCGTTGGACAAATAATCACGCAACGAATTAAAAAGGCAAGATACGCAAGGATACCCCTTTGTAATCTTAATAATGACAGTTCGATTTTCATTTCGGATGTGTTATTTGCTAGGAGATTAATTAAAAATGACATCATTCTTTGGTGGTCACCTTATCGCAAACCAGATCATGGAGGACGTGAACAAGATGAATTTTTTGAATATTTGCATCTCTCTGGTGAAATTGGAAATTGTGGGTTTGTTAACACACCGGGAATACACATGAATATATGTTTTGAAATTCAACTAGATGATTTGTTTGTGAACACTATTATAGAATCATCATGGATTAATCAAAGTGAAGGATCAATACAACTTTTTGGGGACGAGATGCCCATGCCTACATTTTCGGTACTTAAATCATTGGTTAAAGATTGGTATACCGAGGCGTCCAATCCACAAAACGAAATCGCAAGTATCCTTATTCGTAATTTACAAATTTGGCTTAGTGCGGTTAATTCAAATTTCTATGACCACAATATTTGTGGAGTTATACATACTCTGATGAGCAAGGTGGTAGGTATCATGATATATTTTATTAATATATTTATCTGCGAGTCATAATATTCAATAACAATTCTTTTAGGTAATGCAACTTATTGCCGAATTTAGAAACTCTGGTGTTGAAATCGTTTATAGTAACCTTTACAAGATGATAATAGCAACGAATAAGAGTGAATTAAATGTTGCCAATCAATATCGAGATTTTATCTTGAGATATATCAAACAAAAACCAATATTTCAAGCATTGAAGATTATTTGTAAAAAAACTTGGGCCAATGTGATTTGGTTAGATTCGAATAATTTTTGTGGTACATTATGTCACGTCGAAGATCAGTTTGAGAACCATTGGAAGATTAAGAATTATCTTCCGCAGACTTTGTATGAACTTTTTGATAGCTTTGTGGAAGAGTTTGTTGAACTTTGCAAAGAAAACGTGATGATGGGGTCAATCAATTTTAAGGCGATACGGCATCAGTTGGAGAAAAAGATTTATGATATAGTAGCAATGGTACAAGAGGATTGCGGTGAAGGTTTAAAATTCACAAATGTGATTTGTGCGATTTTTCAAAGTTCATTAGGCGAATCCGAAACACGGATACTCAGACAGAACTGTTGTAGGTTATTGAAAGTGAGTCCATATTCTGAGGAGGCTAAATTCAAGTTGAATGATCAAAAAAAAATTGGTAAAATCGAATGTAGTTGTGGCCTAGTACAGCCTATAGACGTTACGTTACCAAAATGTATCAATTGTGAGGAAACATTTCGATTAGAACAACTAGAATATAGCTTATTAGAAGCCATAAATGAACAAGTTGGAAGTTATCAAGATCAAGACCTTTATTGTTCCAAATGTAATTTGCCCCAGCAAAAAAATTTTTTTCAAGAATGTACTTGTGGCGGAGAATATAAACAAACCGTTAGTAGAGAGAAGTTTATAAGTATAATTATTAGTATCGAAAAACTTGCGAAAGAAAATGAGATGAAACTTTTGTTGGAAACTTGTGAATGGTTGTTGAATAAATGAAAAGCTTTACCGAATATTTTAATTTTGCAAAATGTTAATATATTATACATATAATAAAAATATAAATCTTTTTTTTTTTAATATTATATATTATGATAATTAAATAATTTAAGACATATCTAATACACTGATTATATATATTAAAAATAGTGGCAAATATTAGTAATATTAGTAATAATAACCCCATTGATCTTGAAATAGTAATTGGGGAATAGGATACAATGCTTCCGCTATACAGTATCTGACATGCCACTACAGATCCACCAAATGGGGAATGAACTAAGAAAACCACGGTGATTTGCTAGTATACTGTATCTGAAATAATAATAAAATATCGAGAACTATATATGTGTGCGCTATCATAATAAAAAATTATACGGCATTTATGTTTAGTCGAAATTAGTCTTTCATAGTTGCCAAAATTATTGCTGAGAATTCTTTGCGCCAAAATACATCATATAGCATAGTTATTTCCTATAGAAAATGTATCAATGCCGAAATTTTGCCGAAAATACTTTTTACAAAAATAATTTATGCACACATCTATGTCGGGAACCAGATAAATATTGGAGTATATTGGTGCATCCTCAATATCATACTCTTAGTTTAAAGTGAGGTACATATCAGGAATGCTAATATTTTATCCAATATTTACTCGGCCCGCGATATTTAGCTGATATATTCTGGAGTTTTGTACGTATCTGTATTAGCGTTAATGGACTGAAATATGCAATGCACATATATGGGCTGCCGTCAATAGAAGTCAGGCAGATTGACATTTTAAAAAATTTAATACCTCAACTTTCATGTCTTATATCTCGATGAATTTTGAAGCTAATTTGATGATTTAATATTCAAAAGAAAGTTCAAGATCTAAAATTTCTTTTGATTATTGAATTATTAAAATAGCTTCAAAATTCATTGAGATATGAGCTGTGAAAGTTAAGGTATGAATTTTTTTTAAAATGTCAATTTGCTTGATTTCTATTGACAGCGGCCCATATTATCGATATGCATATATGGTTCACATCACTTTAATTTAAACGTTATTAAAAATATACCCGTAAAAATAATAAGTTTGAAGCTTCTCTTTTAGATTTATACGTTTTACTTTTTTTAATTGTATGATAGGTTTTGCGGACCACATGAAAACTTCCTTATTCCGATCGAATATTTCGATAGAAATTCGAAAATACAGGAAACGTGATATCTTTACCTATAATACCCGCACTTACCTTAACCTTCAACTAAACAACAGGCCTGGTATGTGATTTATGTAGCTTATAATTACCGAGGAATATTTTTTGATGTTTATCACTAAAATTTTTAAAGCAATGAACGATGATGCAAAGACGAAATAAAAATTTCAATAAAGAACATCCAAATATTCAAGTATTTAGCACTTCTAATTGAAACATTTACACAATTTGTAAATGAAAATTTAAAGAAAAAATTTATCTCAGGTGATTACGCTAGGGAATTAATAGGGAATTAACTAAATCTAGCCTCCTTTAATTACCTATACCGAACTTAATAGTGTGCTATATACTGAAATTCATCATTGAAAATAATAACTTATCTCTAATGAGATTTCATTTGATATAAGTTGTTTGACGTTTTAAGTTTCTTGCACTGTACATATGTGTACGTACGTGCGTGCGGTGTAAAATTAAATTTGTTATTCTCAACAGCGGCTGAATACACATGAATAGTTGCTGTTAAGTATATTCGTTCTTAGTATATATTATTTCCATACAGAGATTGAGGTTTCCTACATTTATCGAGTTTGGTAATTTACAGCTCTTTACAGCTGTTTCAAAAAGATGTGAACAACGATTCCCATATACTTACGTGGGAAATCGAACAATTAGGAAATTCTGGCTTTGAAATTTTAGAAATTTCATGAATTTCCTGTGATATGATGATTTGCGTCTGTTCACTCCTTTTTGAAAACAGCTATAATTTTTCCTAATCCAAATTTCAAAACAGCTGTAAGAAATTTATTTACAATGTCTTGCAGCTGTTTTCAAAAAATTGAAAAAGATTTTATATATGCATGTAGAGAAGAAAAATTTTGGAAATTTTGATTAGTAAAATTAGTCTGATTAGAATAAGACTGGAAATCTGGGGAATATCATAAATTCATATGGTATGGTAATCTATATCTTTCTATTACAGTTTTTTAAAAATAGCTGTAAGCTTGCGAATTATTTTATATAGAGATTAAAATTTTAGATTTTTTAACTGGATATCTGAAAATACTCATGTGCAAGTGATACGCACAAGAATAGAAAAAGTAAATGTATAAAATCATATAACAAAATTAAAGAAGGTTTAGTTTATGATTAAAACAAGTGCAAGTACTGTAGTATAATTAGTTGAAATATACTATTTAGTCAAATATTTAGACAATTAGCCGTTTAATATATTTCAACATAATCTTATTTTTTTGTCAAAATGAAATTTGACTAAATGTCTAAATGTATAGTAAACTAATAAAGGTAAGAAATTTTGGGTTTCACAAGTTGTACAGATTTCATAAGTCCAGTATGTGACGTATTAAAATTTAACTTCTATAGCGTATTTAATTTAACTTCTACTTGACCTAATTGAACATCCATATTCGATATTAATTTTTCACAATAACTTATGGTTATATGATCTTTATATTCTTTATATAAAACTGCAGTAATAAAACAACATTAGCAGTATTGGCCTCTTTAAAAGATATTTTTTCATATTGTAAAAGCAAAATATTTTGGCTAATAATGAAAATATCATGTTTTCTTTAATGTAGTAAACATAATGTAATAAGTTCTAATAAAGTTAATTCGCGTGAAAATAAAAAAAATTAAATAATGATAATAAAAGTACAATTCATGTAATTAATACAAAAAAAAATTGATTAAAAGCGTGATACAGTAAACATAATATAGTAAGTTTTAATAAAGCCAAGTCGCGTAAGATTAAAAAACAATTAAATTCGCATAAATAGTGATAATAATAAAAATACAATTCATGTATACATGGGTCTAAATTATTTTACTCTTGTCGTAAATTTAAATGGCTAAATTATTTTAGGCAGCCTAAATCGTAAATAATTTAGGTTGCGAAAATTGTTTTAGGCTTCTCAAATATTTTAGGATGTCTAAAATATTCTGAATGTTGAAAATTAAATATTTAAAAAATGCGATGAAATTTTAGAATACCAAAACTAATCTTTTAATTAAATAATCTTAAGAATTAAATATGTTGAATATTAGTCGGAAGCATGATCATCATCGAACTATTCATCTTGAGTCTAGGTCAAAATTCTGAAACTTAATTATCGCGTCAGTTCAAACTCCGCTTATGATTAGTCATCATGATTATGCCTGTGGCCGAAATGTTTCAGCTATTTCGACCACTTGACAAATGGTCACAAATTATTGATAACTTTGCTTTGGACATTTGCCAAGTGGCCGAAATAGCTGAAGCATTTCGGCCACATGTAGCATAGCGGGCTTTAAATCTGATTGGATGATCGACCGAAATGTTACACAATATGTTCTTCATATTACAGTATTAGCGTAACGTTTCGCAGGCACAAAATTAAAACCGCAGCCACGTGTACAAAACCGCCAAGGTTGTAACAAAAAA